TTAACTACGAATTCTCCCTATCTCCCGAACTTGCAAATTCGTTTACGCGGGATTGCGCCGAATGGAATTCTCTCTCTATCGAACGCATAAGTTTCGCGGCCACGAACGGTAATACGCGAATCTCTCCCCCGAAATGCGCTTCTAATTTCCGAACGTCCCGGGAATGAACGAAGCGGACGATACAAAAGTAGTTGGGAAAGGTAGTCACGAGAAGCTAAATTCCTGGTCCCATTTCTCAAGCATTGTCGTCAGCGGCACTTGCTACGCCTGCCCGCGTTACCGAAAACCCGGTTTCGGCGACGGAACTTTTGATAAAATCTCTCCCGCGTGCCGAATATTTCTCCTCTCGCATATTTGATCAACGCGCGGCCACTCGCCGGATGTTTTATCAAAGTTCTCGTCGTGAAAGACGCTTAAATTTCAATTTCAAATTTTGCACACAACGTCCGTGAGGATCGAGAGTCAAACTTAGCACACTTTGTAAGGCGATTATCATCGCTTAGAATATCAAACTGTTTTCATCGCATTTGACAAGACGTTGCTTTCTACATTTAATTTCGCTCTACGAGGATACACCGCGGAAGTATTATCCTAGATAACTGATCTAAACCGGATAATATGTGCAAAATTTGATGATATAATGATGTACAATCATACCATACTACCCGAACAATCATTCCTAAAAGTGTGATCACAGATTGACAGAAGGCGTGTAAAATACGACATTATAGACACAGTCATGAAAGATACGCCGTTGCAGTAATTATCAATTAAATGGTAATACAGTCATAAGACGAGTTATATATAGTGAATACATATGTGCAAGGCTTATTTGTGTGAATATAAACCCCGAAACGTAAAACGGCAGAGCCAGAGAATTTTATGCGAAGAAAGATGAGATATTTGATTTTGTCGGCATAAACTTCATCTTTTAACTCAGTAAAATTATTTTTAAGTTTCCTTAACATTTTTCCAACTTGCAAAATATTATGTTCATATACCGTGCACATATAATTTCACTTCTCGTAATTTGGATCCGCTAATACAAAATGCCTATCCAGTCACAAAAATAATTGTACTACACATATTACATTTTTGATTTGAAAGTTTGTGTGATGCGACGATATAAAAAATATTTTCGTCCGTTGTAACGTTACTGTATACTTGTATACTTCGATCAGCAAATTTTTTAACTGGATTGTCGTATACATCAAAATTAAAAAATAATATTGTCTGCATTGAAAACGAATACATAAATCAATTTTTCATCAATTTTCATTTGCACGTACGCGTGTCACCGGATTAAATGTACAGAACTAGAGTAATATACTAAAATTTTACGTTGTTGTTTAGAAATTCTATTTTAATTCGCTTCTGCCTCTTTTTATTGTTTTTAAAACAATCACGATAGAACCATATAAATATGTATTTTTATAGCAAATAATACAAAAACTTTAATATAAATTTTAAATGATTAATTTTGATATTAAAAATTGTATTATTAGTGTTGCTGTAGTTATTTGCTATTATAAATTTAGAAATTGATACATGATTCCGTATGTAAAAATCTATTATTTTAATCATACATTGTCAAATAAGTGAATGTTGTTAATTAATATATTCCATCTATTTTTGAATGTTTATAATAAAAATCCATTAAAAAAATGATTATTGCAATAGAAAAAGTTGACTGGTACAGAAGGAGTAACTCACCGGATAGGACTATAACAGTCGCAATGGAGAAATATCCTTTCTCAAAGAAATATCGTTGAACCTAAAGTCCACGCAAAGTCCATAAATTTCGAAATAACATTGCTCTGTGTCACGCGAGGCACCTTCTTCTATTTTTATACCTTCTCCTTCGATATGCGAATAAAAAGATTTGACGCTTATACTCGTAATGCGATCATCGTTATTGTTTGTCAGTCACAAATATATGGCCCTATTACATGTCTAGGACGAAGCATCGATCATGTAACAGCGCGTTATCAATTCAATACATGTTCAATACAATATAGTCGTGTTAGATTCACTAGCTACATATATAAATCACTTGACTATTCTCTTTATACACGCAAAGTGAGACCGTCATTTATACGTTCGATTACGTTCTCCGCATGCAATTGCGTACTCCATTTTGAGAAGGTCACATAATTAGGAAGTGGATATACATTTTTTTTACATACGCGTGGCTTGCGTCAGTTCAAATGTTGAATTCAACGATATGGAAATATAAGTGGAAAGCGATATCAATATGTATTTTAACACGCCCATTTTACACAAATACACGCACGATAATGCCATACGCATCTTATTGTTAATTATTAAGATACATATGTACAAACAGAATAAATTTCTACATGTAAAGCATGATGGATATGTGCTCGAATACACCATTGTAGCAATAACCGAAAAGCCGCGATCGTGGAATGTACAGAGCATTTAACAAAAAGCTACTGTATAATATGTAAAGCGAGATTTTAAGATGTAATAAACATTTTTAGCTTCATGAATCTGATAAAATATTATCGACAATTTTGTACAAATTTTAGGAAACAAAATTTGAAATTGCATAAATTATTATTTTCGAAATCAAAAATGAATTTAAGCAATACCGTAATAACTCATATTTACTTACGTTTTATAAGAAACACAAATATGCGCACAAATCGTTTTTGTTTGTATATTTGACAGAAATTAAAAATCAGTTAACTTAATCACTTCTGCAAAAATTGATTAATTTTTCCATTAGAATAACACACGCGTAATATTACTATTTAAACTTACAATAATGTTGCTCTTTATTATAAAATCAAATTGCACATACGTAAACATCGGAATATTTAAACGCGAAATTCAGAATGTAATTTGACGATTGTTTAGTTGCACGTCATTTACGGAACGCTGGAACGGACTACTAAAAGAAGCTCTTTTCTGGAATGTACCATCGCGAATCTGATACTCGCGATCGCAGCTGTGCGGCGTGTATGGACGGAGCAAGCGCATTCTCGCGAATAGAGCGAATGCCGGTGTCACTCGCGGGCGAGTGTCCTCCAATGAAACGCTGCTAAATAAATCGCGAATCCCTGAAAACAGTGTCTGTACCGAGAAAACGCGACGCAGCAAAGCGAACGCATCGTCGCGCGGCACGTAACGAATTACCCGGCCGTGGTGAAGAATGGCGTCGTTTTCCAGAATAATTGGCACGACAATATTCAACGACCGATTTTACACGAAACACACGGGGAGAGCCTCGAGAGGCGATCGAGTCACACGAAGAGTGTTTTCGCGTTAATCCCGGGTCTTTCGCCATAAATCGTTCGCGTTCTCTCCGCGTCAATATGATGCTATGTCGCACATAAGTCCTTACACTCTTCGTTAACCCGAGTACGCGTGGAGCGTTGCAGCTTAGTTATTTTCGCGTCGAGATGACAGGGGCAGTAATTAGTGTACCGTTTTGGGTGTACTTGTTTTTTTTTCTCAGGGGACACTCAATATTGCGGATAAGAGCAATTATTCGCAACCAGATATGTTTAGGGGAAACATATGTAATTAATTATCGAGAATCACGTTTTGTGCGATATGTTGATTTAAAATTAACTGGCTCGAAAGAGGTGGCAGCGTTATGAGATTTTTTGATTTTAAAACAAACAGCGAGTCGATCTGAGTACAAGACGAGAAAAGGCGTTTGTTAAGCAGTTTACGCGAGTGTATGTATTGAATAATATAGCATTGAAGTGATATTTTTCGACTAGTTTTGTTTCCTTCAGTGAGACAATTTTTTTCTCAGTTTATTCCCGAATTTATATCTTAATGTTGAAATTTTATGTATTTTCGTTAATAGAGCAATACGTTACGGTACTTGACTTTGATCCTTATTTGATCGCCATCAAAAGAACCTTTCCCGCAAGAGACCGTTCCCGATTTACATAATAAATGGCTGGAGAGACTCTTTTTCTTTTTTTTTAAGAGCGATCCCGCTAAATCGCCGAACGTCGAGACCGATAGAGACGAGCGGAGTACTGAAAGTTTTAACTGATATTATTGCCATCTTTATCATCGAATCGCCCTTATCTGATCCACTTGACTTCACCTCGTTACCCGAATGTTATTAACTTTGGGGGATGATAAGCGCCGCCAAGTGCCTCCTTAAACGTTACGGCATTTTCATCTACCGGTCGACTTACCGCGGCGGAGCCATAATTCGGGATGTGGTGTTCGCAATGTTACTCGCGTGTGTTCGTCGAGCTTAAATCTCACACATAGCAAACTTATAGTGCACCAGCGTAAATTACTCCCCTCCAGCGGGCACGTATATAACTTCGCGGCCGGTATCCTCCCTCTCGGAATGCCAGTAAGCTCCGTCGAGAAATTTAATCGAGATTGGGAAAACCTTATTTTCCCTCTCGCCTGCGTTTCACGTCTCGTCTTGCAGCCAGATAAAATGCTGTCGCGAGTGAGACACTCGTCTCTTCTCTCCCCTTGTTACAAGATGGGATCTCGCGGAGAGAAGCAGGCTTCTCCGCTTCTCTCCCGCCCGGGAATGGACGTTCCGCGATAAATGAGACAGTGCACTATCTAAAAAGAACGCGACGTATAATAATACCAGGAACCCGCTAAATTTTTATAATCAAATTCGCGTCGAAAAATTTCATCCAAAACTAAAACGCCGCTCCGTTATTAGCGTAGTAATAGACAAAGATATTTTAGACATTTTCGACAGCCTTGCAATTAGAGCTTCAGCTCTAAATAATCGAAGAACATGTCTTTCAATCCATAAATATATGTAACATCCACAAGCTCTCTGACAAAATCCTAATATACAAATCCATAGTTATCATTTAGAGAACATTGGACGGCAATCATTCAGCGCCAAAAACATTGGGCCATACATTACTAACTTCAACTGTCTATATTTTACAATTAAGCCCAACGAGATATACTACTTCTATGTAGATAACGTTAAATAATGACATTTTTTATGTCACGTACATCCTTAGTGCCAATTCCTTAGGTCCTTTATTGTGTTTTTTTTTTGTTACGAAATAGGATCGGCCGAAAATAGTAGTTACGAAATAGTAAGAGCTATTATACACGTTAATGGAAAATAAAAACATTTTATATAAATTGTCAACAAATAACATATCCAGTTGTAAATATAATCAGAGGATAAAAAACATACACTCGTAAATACACTATATTTATGCTCTGATACGATAATATATATGCTCTTTCAATTGTCCAGAAATTAATTCTATTTAAAAGATCTCGTTGCTGGCATGCTTATAAAAACCAAGTAAAGTACGTAATGCAAAAATAATTTAGGAAAAAGCAAATATCGAAGGACAAGCCATGAGAATTAAATGAATTTCTTGTAAGGCCATTTACCGGAAGTACTTAATTCCGGTGCGGTATCGTTTGTACGTCAATGCAATGACTGCCCGATCTCGCAAAAGCGGATTGCTCATTGCATAATGAGCGTCTGGACAGGTTGCGACGAGGACATCCTTATCGGCGTTCCCCCTTCCCTGCTTTCTGCACCCTGTACGTGCGTCGCATCGCATCGCGTCGCGTCGCATCTAAAGCTCGTAGACGTCACGTCCGTTCGGTCTAGCCACAGCCGGACGACAGGACGACGGACTCGCGTACGAGTGAATAATGTGCACTCGGAGGCGCACGTCGCTAGAATTTCTACCCTCACCACCGCGCGGCCTCCTCGAGAAGCTCACCGTGGTCTTGCAGCAGCAGTAGTGAAAAAGCTTGACGTAAGCGCTGCGAAAGTGGCGGTCCGCCACGCAGTAGAGCAGATTGTTGAAGCAGGACTTGGACAGGGCGAACCAGGCCAGATTGTAGAGCACACGCGTGCTGACCGGTATGAAGGAATTCACGCAGACCGCCAGGCCGAACGGCAACCAGAACACGACGAACATCACGCAGCTGCACATATTCGTCTTCGTGAGCTCGTAGTCCCAGGAGAAGGCGGCCGGCGGCTTGTACGAGCCCCGCGTGGCCCTTCGCACACGTATCACCAGCTTCACGTAAAAGAAGATGGTCATCAAAGCTGGCAGCCCAACCAACACGCTTGCTCCCACCGCTTGTTCCATCGCGATCTGCGACCCGCTGAGTTTGCGACGGCAAAAGTCAGGACCTATGTCCAAGGACGATTGCAAGGCCACCACAGTCACAGCGATCACCCAGACGACGATGATCGTGCCTGTTACACGACCCGCCGTCAGATTAGCGTATCTAAGAAATATGAAAAACATTGTTATAAATATTAATGAATTAAATTAAGGAAAAGCTATAGGGAAAAGGGTGTATGCGTTATCCCTAGTTTATCGTAAGAGAAAATATTTTAATAAGTGTTATCGCAAAATTCTTCATAACTTTGAGTAATTTATACATATAACTGATTGTGACATGATAAGCGTTTTAAAGTAATATGAATATAGACTGTTAAGGCATCATTAACTCGGTTTGCTGTTGCAATTTATAGAATACACTCTGCAGGAATAACTCTCATAGAGATAACAGGAGATAATACGTTGTCTCGTCGGTTGGATATTTCCCCTTAATTGCATCACGAGCTTGTTTAAGTCCCGGCTTTCTTATACGGCGTATTCAATTAAAGAAAATATTTCCCTCGGTGATACACTGCGACTGCAATTACGGAGTTGGTCGTACTAGTCTGTGGATTAACGAGGGGCTTGAAAAACGAGTCGGTAGTTACGGAGTTAGCAGTGCTGGCGGACGATTTCTCGTTTACAATGCGAGGAAACTTCCCCGAGTCCACGTGTTCGCCGTGATTCTTCTGACGCGACCGGTTAAAATACTTCCCGTTACGCCGTATTGTCACGAAACTTTCCGCGTGCGTATGAAAAGCAGCAGTCGTCGTTGTCGTCGTCGTCGTTGTCGTCGTCGTCGTTGTTGTCGCCATCGTCGACATCGTCGTCGTCGTCGTCGTCGTCGTCGTCGTCGTCGTCGTCTCCCCCGAGATCGTCTGCTATCGGTTACGAATTCCGGCAATTCAAGCTAAAGAGAACGTCGCCCGGAATGCGAAATTACGAACTCGATCGTGACGCTGATAGAGAACCGTGGAAGCACTTCAACGTCAAACTCGAAGTTCCAAGCAGTGGTCGCCATACGCCATTATACGCGATGGCTTAAACTGATAACAGTAATTTGATTTCTACCCCATTCACTGTGTTTACATTACCCATATCCACCCAACGACGTTAACTATCGCGAGGTATTTTCATGCGAAGACCACAAGCGATACGATATATCCAGGCGTGTATTATAACATTATCATTTTCTCTCCAGCTCTAATGATGGTATCTCTCTGTAATAGGAGACATTAGCCCGAAATATTCATATTCATACTCAAAAAGCATCGGGATAGTATAATACGTATAAACGTTGCAAATGGAGCAACGATATGCGGACAATTTTAAGGAGTGTTGGTTATCGATCTCTCTATGCATCGCACTTCATCTTTTTGTGGGTAAACAGGCGCGGTCATAATTTTCTTCCCTTTATTGTCCCCGCCGGAACTCCGACCTCCGACCCCGAACGATGACCCGGCTTGCCTATATTACTGTATTTAGGGTGTTGCCTTAGAAACACTTGCCTAGTGAAGACATCAAAGTCAGATATAAAGAATAGTTACACACATTTTCTTAAAAATTATTATACCGAGTTTCGATGGTTTGCTACCGAAAAAATCGCATATTGTCGTTGCAAAAACGGTTTGAAATAGGAAGGAAACACACACATGTTTTTCCGAGAATGGTTACATAAATTTCTCGATAATCGTTAGCGGAAATAGAGAGTTGTTACGAGAAAAACGTCCCCGAGGCAGAACAAGAATGTGCATGCGTGGGGAATTGCAGGAACGTGGATATCGATTGCCGGAATCGCCGGTGCACTCGCTTTATCTTTCGGCTGGCAAACAGTTAACACAAGCGGGCGTAATTTTCGGCCGCTATTGTCGCGGACGGCGGTAAGGCCACCGGGGACCAAAGAGCTTTACAAGCACAGGTTTTGGTATATATGTTACTACGACCGCGCCAAATGAAGACCCGCCTGCAAGAACCAGATAGCCTCGCCTTTGATCGAAGTGAATTATTTACATGGAAATGGAGACAATCTCCTGCTGCACAGGATAATGCAAGTGTTTATTAAGGCAAATTGTTAGTCGGTAGTCGCAGCAGTTTGATGAAGTTCGGAAGCTTGTTTACGAAGCTAACCATAAATGGATTTAACTCCATCTTCACATATTGGCTCTGATAGCGTGCGGGATAAAATTGATTGTCCCTGTCTTTTCTCCCGTGCCCCTTCTCACCCCTCAAACAGACTTGAATACGTCTCTCTTAAGCTTTCCCGATGACATAGATTAAAAGAAACAAACGGCGATTTATAAATAATAAAAAAATTTTATATTTGATGAGTTCTTGGCTACCAATAAAAAATTTTCGCCAATGTGTGCGTGTATCACTGTAAAACAAAACGAGACTAATATTATTTCCGTTTTAAATTATATATCAAACAGTTCGGTTTGATTAATCGGCAAGCGTCACACTGTGAAGTTCTTTATCTAGTTATCGAAAACCGCAGCCAGCCGATAAAATTCGCGTTAAAAAAAACCCGTTCCTCCCGCTTTTTATCAAACCAAAGAGAAACCCTTTTTGCGCGGCCTTTGCGCGAGCGAGAGTTTGTTAGTTTTTGCGGCGGTCCGACAAATCGAGACACCCCGGGGTTCGATCCATTTTTCATGCCACCCTACGGAACAAATAACAAACTTTGTTAACGATTACACCGCGTACATCAGTTCGGCCGTCCGTCCCTTCGAGCGAGTGACGGAAAGCGGCCGTGGGCAAGAACGGACGTGCCCGTGTGTCGCGTCGTGTCCGGAAACGGACCGCTCAATTAGTATCCGACAAACGCCACCTCGTAAACAAAGCGTGTGGGTTAAAGGCGACGCTTTGAAGGGCCCTCTTCCCCGACGCGACGCAGGGGAAAAAGAAGTCGCACGCGTGGTGGCAAGCGGTGGCAAAAAGCGCCGACAATCGCAGGAATGTAGCGGCTATTGATCGCGCCAACGGTCACGTGTGCTATATCTTTTCGATCGCCGAAGCCGGCACTTAATTCGACGGCGGATGGGCCCCTCTCTCTCTCTCTCTTCCTTCCTTTC